AAGCCAATAGATGCTCCCCCAGCAGTTTCTGGTAGTTATCATTACTGACACAGGTTGTGAGAACAGCACTGACCTTAGACTCAGAAAGCACTGCTGTTAGGATACAAACACAGCATGTTTTCCAAGCCATCTGCCAAGAGGTTCTTTTGGCCATCTGCATGAAATAGCCAGCAAACAGTTTCTACTGGAGACATCTATGAATGGTGGAATAGAGCCATCATAGCAAATTTTTTGAAAAAAGTATTTCTTTCAATTCAGGTTATTTCACTACTATTGAAAATACCTCATGAATATGAACTGACTGAACTTTTACCAAACTAGTTTTGGTCAGCATGTAGATACAATCTTAGAAGAATTTTCTTTAATATGAAATTTGTGCAATATTTGAGTTATTTGGGAAATTGTGCCATAATTAAAGTATGACATGGGTAAGGAATTGGACTTAATGATCTATATAATTATTTTTAACTCTAATACCTAATGACTTTATATAAACACGTTTCATCATTTGTTCAAAATTCAATGGCAACAATGTTTAAGTATCATATATAGATTTAAAGCATTTTTTATATTATTGGAAAATATTAACCAATTTATAAAAATCAGTTTTAGAATGTCTAAGTGACTTAGGTCTTTAGATTATTTCTAAATTACCTAAATGAGGTTTATTAATATGCACACTACTTGGAAACTGAAGAAACATATGTACATTTTACTTTATTTTGTTTTACTTTATTTCAGCCCAGAGATGACTACCTAGAGTGAATGCATCCCTAACATTATGAAAATAACACTAATAACTTACGAAATTTTTATGTTTTAGCATTAAAAAAAGGACGATTTTGGATCACACCAGATCCTTATCACAAAGATGACAACATCCAGATTGGGCGTGAGGTGAAAATATCTTGCCAAGTAGAAGCTGTTCCTTCTGAGGAGTTAACATTTAGTTGGTTTAAAAATGGTCGTCCATTAAGAAGTTCTGAACGGATGGTTATTACGCAGACTGATCCAGATGTCTCCCCGGGAACGACAAACTTGGACATCATTGATTTAAAATTCACGGATTTTGGGACATACACATGTGTAGCATCTCTGAAGGGAGGAGGAATATCTGATATCAGTATTGATGTTAATATATCCAGCAGCACAGGTAAGAAGCATATTTATGATTCAAAAGATGTTCACATTGAGAATAATTTTCTTTTTTTACGTAAAACAAAATAGTCTTCAGCCAAGCTAAGAACATTCTAATTTTCAAAAAGCTTCCTGAAACCAAAGTCCTAACATTCCGAATGCCCAATAAATATGTTAAGGGACTTTGATTTTGATTAGATTTAGAATTACATTAGGTTTTGATTTAGACTTAGATTTGACTTAGATTTACATGAGGTTTTACAGAAATAGTGCAAATAAAGTTAATAGTGTTGTCTATGATAGGTATAGGCTTCTGGGTTAAATGGTACCAGTTTTTAAATTATTAACTAGTAATTCTCTGTAAAGCCTAAAATTATGTTAATTAATAATGTTAAACACCAAATGGCTAAAGAATTAGGACAATTTTCAGAATTGTGAAGCAAGCAGAAGCTATTTAGTCCATAGAAGAAAATACCGAGAGATAATTTGAGTATTCAAATATAAGGAATATAAGAAATGTATTTTCCACCAACAAAAACCAATGATAAACATGTTAAAATTGTAATCAGGTGTGACTCTTTCAAGAACCTTATGATAGAATCTCTTCACAATGAGAATGGCTAAATATAAAAATAGATTGGAGTGAAATTTCTTCTATTAAGGTTAAAACCAAAAATATGTTATCAATTTTCTCTCAATTAAATGAATGTCTACGGATAAGGAAAATTACAGGGTAATTTTGGTATGGGAGGACATATTAGCTTAATTCTTAGGATGTTTTAAAGCCCTGTGATTCTATGAACTGCAATCAGTATGCATCTGGAGAACTCCAACGTTGCTTTATTTGTTTTGCCAGCTTGTTACTAGATTGAATTTTAATTTAGGATTTTTATATAATCCTAGGGCGAATAACATGTGTTGAAAACATAGAGCACAAATGTAGATAGCAGACATACTCTGTTTGTTTGCTATTTTTAATTGGAGTATATTTGCTTTACAATGTTGTGTTAGTTTCTGCTGTACAATGAAGTGAATCAGCTCTATGTATACATATATCCCCTCCCTCTTGGACTTCCCTCCCACCCCCATCCCACCCATCTAAGTCATCACAGAGCTTTGAGGGAATTTAAATGGTTGGCTTCTCCTTTCCAGTCAGGCAGTATTTTGACTCTTGTATGTTAACAGATTGACCTGAGATTTTGTGTCTTTTCATGATTCCAAATTGCAATGCATGCTGGATTGATTTTACTCCTTAAGGGATACAGTCCATACCTCAGGCTGACCAAATGTGCTTACTTTTCACCGTTCTGCATTATTTCTAAAGGATATTCCATTCTAGGGTGATGAAAGGTACTTGTGTTTGGAAATATGTCCTTTTCTAGGTAACAAACAAACAAAACCACAATAACTATTTTTTATCTAACTTGTGTTAAAAATTAGTGCTATCCCTAGATGGACTCATTTGAGGATATCTAAGGAAAGCTGTTGATATGCTCAGTCAGTCATCATTCATTTATGTATTTATTCAATCAACAGATGTCCATTGAATGCCTCCATCAACATGCTAGGGACACCCATATATGATGTTTCCCATAAGAGTAAGAACAATTTTGTAAAATCCATGATCATTTTTCCTTATTTATGAGAGACAATTTTCCAGATGGTCTACACTGAATTATGACCATTGCTTTGTTTGTTTCGTTGTTTGCTTGGTTTTGTTTGCTTGTTTCGTTTTTGAAACCAATGACAAAAACTTATATGTAAAGAATCAGTGCTCCTATCTAAACAGACTTGTCTGATGGGAGTGCAGTTCATATACCATTAAACTTAGACAAAAGAGGGAGCAGAGAATGGAGAGGAGAAAGGAGCATTATATAATTATTCACAAAATGAGTCCTAACATTCATTTTTATATACACTAGTTAGTTACCTATTTGAAACTGTATTGTAAATGACCAGCATTGATTCATGAAATTTCCAAAAATCTTAAAAGGAAAATTCCAGAAGATGATCAGAAAAGCACAAAATCCTTAAGAAATGCCTCTTCTTAATAAAAGTTTAGTTGTAATAATTAAGGTTTTTTAACCATTATTATTTGTCTGGTTACCAAAGGTGACAGTGCTCGAGATGAAGGAGATATATTAAATCCAAAACACTCCCCTTTTTTGTTCCCTATCCACCACAGACAGACCTGGTTGTGGTCTGTCTCCTCCCTAGAGTGGAAGCTCCATGAAGGCTGGGACTTTCTCTGTATTGTTCATTGTTGTAATATCAGCATCTGGAACAATACATGGCACTTAGAAGATACTCAATATATTATAATTAAATCAAAAAAATGAGCTAATTTGTGCATGTAGCTTTCCTTTTAGGTTTCTTTCCTCCTCCTATTATTACCTCTGCAAGGTAGACATTTGGTGTCTCTCTTCTTGATCTTGTAATTCCCTGCAGACTTTAAGAAAATCATTCATAGACCAATTTATACTATTATTTAATATGTTATCACTCTCAGGGGCAGGACTGGCTCCATAATTTGTGGCATACTTTGAAAATTTTTAAGAATGTGTCCCTAGTTCAGAACTTGATAAGGATTCCATGATGGCAATATCAGAGCATTAAACCAAGTGTGGGACCCTTCTAAGCATGGCTGCACAGGTGACATGCTTGCAGGACTGGCCTGTGCACGGGATTGTATTTTGATAGAGGGGTCTGCAGAAGATGGTGTTTAACCCAAAGGATAAGTCATGAATGTGATTACATATTCTATTTTCATGCTGAAACTGGGTTTGATGTTTCATTTTGCTTACAGTAGAGTTGAATACCAGAGTGCAATATAAAGATCTGTAGATCAGAGATTGTGTGATTCAGTTGGTATCAATAAAAATTATTTTTATCCCCACAGAGTAGAAGACTACACTTAAAGCAGTGCTTTAATCTGAAATATAGAGATATTACTGGGGATAGAGTTTGAACAAGCTATAGCATGGAGGAAAATCTTAAACTATATTAATTCTATGAACCATATAGGATTCAGAGGAAATTCCCAAAAATTCAGCAAAGTCAAAAAGAAGGAAGCTACTGTTAAGACATAAGTAAATATGTGGGGCCCTTTTAGATTTTGGGTTTTGCTAGTTAGTACTATTTTAGGGAATTTAGAATTGACCAAGTGGTCAGTGGTTTTCTTATGTGTTAAGCATTGTGATTATGTTAAATGTAAGCAATTTTAGGATGACATTTTAAACTTAAAAAAAAATCTGAACCTTTTGTTTTTCATACAAAATCTTACATTGAATCTTAGTTGTTACTGTGTTTTAAGAGACATATATGAAACTTACTAAGATGAGAATGAGGTACCATAAGGCACTTCTGCCTAAGTTTGAAAACTGTTTCTTTAAATGACAGAACTGCATCTCTAGATACGTTTTTGAGTACTTTAAAATTGAAATATAAAATATCTCAGGAAGGTAAATCCTAGTTTACAGAATTATTCATATTTTTAAAAGGCAGTGATTTGATTTAAAAAAAAAACTTTGAAGAGAGAGACTACATGCATTTTGGAGTTTTCCTCATGCATCTGACTGAATAATAAAAACTATGATATATGTGATAATAGATTATGTCTTCTTTTCACATTAATTCAACATTAGAAACATTTTTTTTCCTCCTGGTTCTGCAAACTGTTTTATTGTGAGTATTTGTTGTTCTGTCAAGTTAAAATCATGTCCCTTGCAGGTTCTTTTACTGTGTTACTGCTCTGTATCTAGCTGTATGTCTCATGGTGACAGACAGTGGGCCTTGCCCTTAGGGAGCTTACAATCTAAGTTGTCAAATTACTTAGTTGTCAGATGATTTAAAAATAAGGCACGATGTATAGTGGAATGGATGCTGTACTTAAAGTTTTATCAGACTTCTGTAGGACTCGTGAATGTTTTTGTCAATGTAAGCACAGGAAAATTCCACAGAAAAACAATATTTAAGTTAAATCTTGCTAGAAGGAGCATTATGACAGTGACAGTGAAGGGAGAAAACATTTGGCAAAATATACAGGATGAAGAAAGTCCCAGAAATATTGTGGGATTCTTGCTTTTTACTGTAGAATTAATATTAACTGATATTAATACAAGCAAGTTTTATTGGTTTATTTCAATTTTATTATTATCCTTAATGAAGCTATATTTTATGTGGCTAGACTGCAGGTAACTTACATTGTAGTAATTGTAAAGTTCTCAATTAAAAAATTAAATATACTGAAATATTAGTTGTTGCAGTTAATCTTGTGAAATGAAAATCGTTCACATACTTGCTGGAAAATGCATGTAAATTTTAGCCTAAAATTTTGGCAACAGTTAAAATCAACTCTTAAAATATTTCTTGTTTCTTATTCGGTTACATAAGTATAATTGTTACAGTAGATTTTTAATTTTCAGAGGGTTGCTGAAAAATATCCCATTGCTTCCTCCAGTATTGTTATGCATAAAGTCCTTTGGTGCTCTTCTGCTTGCATGTATTCCTTTGCATGACCTGAAAACTCGTAGGTTTATAGTAAACTCTGAAGCATCTGCATCATGCCTAGAAAATATAAACAGTGAGCCTGGTGATCTGTGGAATTCCATGGTGAGACATCTGGTAGGCACATATAGCAGAAGACTCAATACAAATTTGATGATTTTTTTTTTCTCCCCTGTTTGAGTACAGGGACATTTCATATAGCAGAAAATGGAGCAAGATTTAGAGGATTAAACCGGAGGCAGCAACATAAGCATAGGTACACAGAGAAGGTAACAAATTGAGAAAATTAGTTGGAAATTTTATCTTTGCTGCTGACTACCTGGCTAGTTACTATAATTATGATAGTTAATTGTCTGTACAAGTATTCACACCTGTGAAATAAAAGTTCTTGATAATAGAGGACTATGGTACACAACTAATAAGAATAGTTGATGAGCATGAGCGCAAAAGACAAATGATTGTCTTCTTAATTGGATTTGCTTCTTTGCCCTTTTCAAGTTAAGGAGGAGTAGAAACTCATGAAATTTTGCTGATCAGAACTGAAGTTTTATAGAATGACTATAGTGGGTGACAGGTTGTTTTATGTAAGAGGAAGTCATAAGTAAGACTAACACATGTAAGAACTGACAATGAAACTTCAGAGGAAGCTTCCATGTAGTCAAAAGTTATGTAATTGGTTCCTGAGTTACTGGACAAAGAAAAATTCATTTTCTTTCTTGACTCCAAAATTGTGAGGTTCAACCATCACATCCAAATTAATGATGGAGAACAGAGGTCAGCAATTTTTTTCTGTAAAGAGTCTGATAGTAAATATTTTAGTTTTTCAGGCTATATGGTTTCTGTTGCAACTGTTCTGCTCTGCTAATATAGTAGGAAAGCTGCCACAGACAATAAAATGAATGGGTACTGCTTTGTTCCAGTGAAACTTCATTTACAAAAACAAGTGGTGGACCATATTTTCCCATAGGCCATAGTGTGCTAACCTCTAACCTAGACTTCTGAAACCCTGGTAATTAAGAAATAGAATCATAACAAAGCTGAACTCTGTGAACTTACTAGGAAATTAAGTTAAATCCATGTATAACTTATTTGTTTGTACAAACATCAATATATTTTCTAATGATTGAGGCAAAAATCTCAGTTATTCCTTATTTCTCATTTATGTGTATACAGTTGACCCTTGAACAGTGTGGGGGTTAGGGGCACTGACACCTGAGCTGTGAAAAATCCGAGTATATTATAGTCAGACCCTCCATATTCGAGGTTCCACATCCTCATATTCAACCAGCCTGGGATCATGTAGTGCTATAGTACATGTTTATTGAAAATCCACACAGTTCAAACCCATGTGGTTTTAGGGTCAACTATATTTTACTGGGCTCCTTGTTAAACATATTGTTCTCTGCTAGGGTGCCCATGTTCTAGAGTTATGCTGCAAGGATTCCTGAGATTACTTTGCAATTGCTCGTCTCATTCCTAGCATATAAGATTTTCTGCTACTGTCTCTATTCTGTTTGTGAACTCTTTCACCTATTTTTTTATCTGTTTCTATATACATATATTTAAATTTTGAATGGCTGAGGAAACAATGAAAAAAACCACAATTTTAAAACAGTGAGATTTACTCCGAACTTTAGAGTCTTCCTGGATATGGAGACAGTTTCCTTATTTCAGAATGGATGGCTGACTTTCACACTGGCCTTAGGCAGGACTAATTTCATACAGATTGAATTTACTCTTTAGGTGTTGAAAATTCCTCTCTCTCAGTTGACTCTTGTGTTTATTGGAAGGGGTATTATAACTGTCCCTGATAAGGGCCAGAAAGAATAGTGTTTTAATCAGCGTGTCACTAGGGAAACTATCCCACTAAAAAAATAGAATTATCTCTTCTACAGCCTTTCCCACTTTCTTTTCCTAGGCATTGAAAATGCCTCTTCACCTATATAGCATTGGAACTGGAACTAAACGTGGCTAGCTGATATCTTTACTGTGGCTCTTAGACCCTTAAATTGCTATTGTGTTTAATGAACTTACCAAAGAAAAAGGAACTGCATAATATTGTTTTTATTGACCATGTATACAGAACATTCCTCAGGAAATATTGGGCTTACAGCATACTTGTAGAGATACCTAATTCCATTTATTTGTGCTTTTTCAGTAAAGGATGGTATTAATGTCAGCCTACATGGCAGGCGTAGTTATAAAATTCATATTTAGGTATATAGAATTTACCAAGAAGAATATTTTATGCTTAACATTGCCTATTAGAAAATAGGTTTTACTCATTATATTAAATGTTTATAAAAACTTAATAATTTGGAATTGTTTCTTCTGCTCATTTATGTTAGCCTTAACATTGTTCTGTGGCTAATGCAGGTTTTCTATATAGGAGACATGTAAACACAACAATCTGGAAGTCTTGGGAGTGGTTAGGGGGCTTGTCTGGAAACTGTTTGAATGAGTAATACAGTTGTTGTTTTTTTTAACATCTTTATTGGAGTATAATTGCATTACAGTGGTGTGTTAGTTTCTGCTTTATAACAAAGTGAATCAGCTATACATATACATATATCCCCATAACTCCTCCCTCTTATGTCTCCCTCCCACCTTCCCTATCCCACCCCTCTAGGTGGTCACAAAGCACCAAGCTGATCTCTCTGTGCTATGTGGCTGCTTCCCACTAGCTATCCATTTTACATTTGGTAGTGTATATATGTCCGTGACACTCTCCCACTTCATCCCAGCTTATCCTTCCCACCCGCCATGTCCTCAAGTCCATTCTCTACGTCAGCGTCTTTATTCGTGTCCTGCCCCTAGGTTCTTCAGAACCATTTTTTTTTACAGTTTTTATTCAGATTATATATTGAAAATAATGAAAGAAGGAGGGCAGACAGCAGAAGCAAGAAGAACTACATTCCTGCAGCCTGTGGAACAAAAACCACATTCACAGAAAGGTAGACCAGATGAAAAGGCAGAGGGCTATGTACCAGATGAAGTAACAAGATAAAACCCCAGAAAAAAATCGAAATGAAGTGCAGATAGGCAACCTTCCAGTAAAATAATTCAGAGTAATGATAGTGAAGATGATCCAGGACCTCAGAAAAAGAATGGAGTCAAAGATCGAGAAGATGAAAGAAATGTTTAACAAAGACCTAGAAGAATTAAAGAACAAACAAACAGAGATGAACAATACAATAACTGAAATGAAAACTACACTAGAAGGAACCAATAGCAGAATAACTGAGGCAGAAGAACGGATAAGTAACCTGGAAGACAGAATGGTGGAATTCACTGCTGCAGAACAGAATAAAGAAAAAAAATGAAAAGAAATGAAGACAGCTTACAAGACCTCTGGGACAACATTAAGCACAACAACATTCTCATTATAGGAGTGCCAGAAGGAGAAGAGAGAGAGAAAGGACCAGAGAAAATATTTGCAGAGATTATAGTCAAAAACTTCCCTGACATGGGAAAGGAAATAGCCACCCAAGTCCAGGAAGCGCAGCAAGTCCCATACAGGATAAACCCAAGGAGAAACATGCCAAGACACATAGTAATCAAATTGGCAAAAATTAAAGACAAAGAAAAATTATTGAAAGCAGCAAGGGAAAAATGACAAATAACATACAAGGGAACTCCCATAAGGTTAACAGCTGATTTCTCAGCAGAAACTCTACAAGCCAGAAGGGAGTGGCATGATATACTTAAAGTGATGAAAAGGAAGAACTTACAATCAAGATTACTCTACCCAGCAAGGATCTCATTCAGATTCGATGGAGAAATTAAAAGCTTTACAAACAGGCGAAAGCTAAGAGAATTCAGCACCACCAAACCAGCTCTACAACAAATGCTCAAGGAACTTCTCTAAGTGGGAAACACAAGAGAAGAAAAGGACCTACAAAAAAAACCCAAAACAAATAAGAAAATGGTCATAGGAACATACATATCGATAATTACCTTAAACGTGAATGGATTAAATGATCCAACCAAAAGACACAGGCTTGCTGAATGGATACAAAAACAAGACCCATACATATGCTGTCTACAAGAGATCCATTTCAGACCTAGCGACACATACAGACTGAAAGTGAGGGGATGGAAAATGATATTCCATGTAAATGGAAATCAAAAGAAAGCTGGAGTAGCTATACTCATATCAGATAAAATAGACTTTAAAATAAAGAATGTTACAAGAGACAAGGAAGGACACTACATAATGAACAAGGGATCAATCCAAGAAGAAGACATAACAATTATATATGCATGCAACATAGGAGCACCTCAATACATAAGGCAACTGCTAACAGCTGTAAAAGAGGAAATTGACAGTAACACAATAATAGTGGGGGACTTTAACACCTCACTTACACCAACGGACAGATCATCCAAAATGAAAATAGGGAAACACAAGCTTTAAATGCCACAATAGACCAGATAGATTTCATTGATATTTATAGGACATTCCATCCAAAAACAGCAGATTACACTTTCTTCTCAAGTGTGCACAGAACATTCTCCAGGATAGATCACATCTTGGCTCACAAATCAAGCCTCAATAAATTTAAGGAAATTGAAATCATATCAAGCATCTTTTCTGAACACAACGCTATGAGATTAGAAGTGAATTACAGGGGAAAAAACATAAAAATCACAAACACATGGAGACTAAACACTACGTTACTAAATAACCAAGAGATCACTGAAGAAATCAAAGAGGAAATCAAAATATACCTAGAAACAAATGACAATGCAAACATGACAATCCAAAACCTATGGGATGCAGCAAAAGCAATTCTAAGAGGGAACTTTATAGCTATACAAGCCTACCTCAAGAAACAAGAAAAATCTCAAATAAACACTCTAACCTTACACCTGAAGGAACTAGAGAAACAAGAACAAACAAAACCCAAAGTTAGCAGAAGGAAAGAAATCATAAAGATCAGGGCAGAAATAAATGAAATAGAAACAAAGAAAACAGTAGCAGAGATCAATAAAACTAAAAGCTGGTTCTTTGAGAAGATAAACAAAATTGATAAACCATTGGCAAGTCTCATCAAGAAAAAGAGGGAGAGGACTCAAATCAATAAAATTAGAAATGAAAAAAGAAGTTACAACAGACACAGCAGAAATACAAAGCATCCTAATAAACTACTACCAGCAACTCTATGCCAAAAATGGACAACCTGGAAGACATGGACAAATTCTGAGAAAGGTGTAACCTTCCAAGACTGAACCAGGAAGAAATAGAAAATATGAACAGACCAATCAC